TTGATCCTAAAGAGGCCTTCTGGCTCCTGAAAGATACTGCTCTATAATGTATGCCGGGCGTTATCTAGTTGTAATGGGAACACCCAAAGTTATTGTTTTCAATTGGAATCCTTGCAGTTGCTGCAGTGGAAGTATCTGCCAGTAAGGATTGTAGAAGCTCGAGCGAAGTCTCCCTTAATGTGTATAATGACTATGTCGCTGAAGAGACCAATAAATTATGGTAACAGCAATGGGTACTTTTAACAGTTTCTTGAATCCATCAGTGTTGAGGTTCAACCAGAGTTTTATATGTCAGTGTGGTTTGTTTTCAGCAAATTATAGCAAGATCAAGAAAAAACTTCGATTGAAGAAATATGCTGGCAGTCTCCATGAAGTGATAAAATGTTCAGAAAAAATCAGACGACATATTTTTGTTTTTGTTGCTGGGCTGATGGTTGTCATGTCAGCTTCCCTTTCTGTTAGCAGTATTCCATCCTGTAAGTTTACTTTATACCGTAATATAGTAATGACAACCCAAAATCGTGCAGTGGTAAGAGAATTTACTCGAATTTGTTGTCTTTTATTGACTTGCCCAGGGGCTCTCACAGAAGAGAATCTTCTCTTCTTAGAGGCATGGAAGATGATTGACCGTGCATATGTTGACAAAAGTTTCAATGGACAAAGTTGGTTTCGGTACAGAGAAAATGCACTGCGCAATGAACCGATGAATGCACGAGAAGAGACATGTATGAATTCCTTCCTGCAGTCGGTGATATTGTATTGTGTGAAAATTACTATAGTAAAAGTAGCTCAAAATATTCCAAGGCTGTCCTTTTGAAAGTACGCCTCTACAATGGTTCACTGGACTCAGAAAAATTTTTGTACTATAAACTTTTGTATATGATACCCTATTTAACTCGATAGTTGGTTCTTCCGCCTTAATTGCAGAAACTGTTTGAGACTTTGAGATATCTAAAGTCCACTGTCACCTTAGTTTACTACTTATAATTTCTTTTTCCTGCTTGAAGGTTTTCAAGATTTGCTGATCCTAGCATGCCAAAGTCTCCCTTCACTTGATAAACCATTATTTTACTCAGCTATTTTGGTTTTGTATAAAAATGAGCAAAAGCTTCATGCCAGCTGGATCTCTTCATTTAATACTATACATATCTTTCCAGTTTCCAGTTTCTGCCTTTCTAAATCCTAGTGTTGTATGTTCATTTAGATATGGCAATTAGGAAGATGCTTGCCACATTGGAGGATCCTTTCACTCGGTTTCTGGAGCCTGAAAAGTTAACGAGTCTACGGGTACAATGATTTTTCTTCTTATACTGTTAGTGTAGTTCATTCTAGCGGTTTAGCCTGCATAAGAAAATATGATGCACCATTAGACACTACATCAAACTCACTCTCAAATTACTTATTATATTAAGAAAAATTTCTTCAGTTGAATTTGAATATAGTTATTGTTCCTGAAATCTGTTCACATCTTCTTCAAGGGCAGTCTGGAACTCGAGGTGCTCTTACAGGCGTAGGGCTGTCAATTGGCTACCCTACACAACTTGATGGATCAGCTGCTGGTCTTGTTGTTATCTCAGCTTCCGCAGGAGGTCCAGCAAACAGGGCTGGCATCTTGTCTGGGGATGTTATTCTGGCGATTGATGATACAAGTACAGAAACAATGGGCATATATGATGCAGCAGAGCGGCTACAGTGAGTTTCATACACTTACTCCCATGTAACTTGTCATTGTTTTTTCATCTAAATGTTTATGCTCTAATACTGTAATGAGGAAATGCAATAATAATATAACTTACAATATTAATTATGTATTTCTTAGCTGGAATTTTCATTGAAATTCTGTTCGTAAGATTAATCTAACATGGACATACACAAAGACAAATTGCAGTTTTCCAGTCAAGTCCTTTCTGATATCCAAATGACTATAGTAGTAACTATCCATTAGTGCTAGGATATTCTAGGGACTGTTCACAAAATTTCTGGTTGGAAGCCATATCATTTAAAAACCTAGAGTAGCTCTCTATCTTGGGCCCTTTGAATTTGTGAGTGGGCTGGTGACTTGTAACAAGTGTTTCAGAATCACGATTCGTTTTTTCCCAGTAAATTTTTATTTATTTTCATTTATACCGTTTTTCCTAATTGTTACAGGGGATCTGAAGGAAGTTCAGTGAAACTAACCATTCGGAGTGGACCTGAAATAAAGCACCTGGATCTAATGTAGGTTCAGTTCTTCATTCATTCCTGCAGAAATACTGTAATATCAGTCTAAGGAATTATTCATTCTATTCCCAAAGGTGTTTGAAGATTATTGATTTGATAATATGATGGTTTTAACTTTGTCATGGCATGCATTTGATAATTAGTTGGAATTAATTTCATCATGTCATTTTAAGAATGCTTTTGGTCTAAGTTCTCATTTTATTTAGTGGCTGGCAATTGAGCTCCGTGTTTAACCACAGTCATCCCATTTGCTAAGACATTGAGCTACTGTTAACTTGGGAATAGCACTTAGGACTGGGGTTAGTGGTGATTTTACTTTTGCTCAATTCAGAGTCCTTTTTCCATTTTAAAATTATTAAAATGTCTTCTTGGTGTATTCTAGGCGGGAGAAAGTTTCACTGAATCCTGTGAAGTCAAGACTATGTGCGGTGCCTGCTTCGGGAAAGGATTCCCCTAGGATTGGATATATCAAACTACCAACGTTCAATCAAAATGCATCTGGTAAGAAAAACTAGTAGTTGCAGAACTGATATAAGTTTTATGTATGATGGTATGGTGTTTTGATCTTCTCAAGCCCACTCTCACTGAGATATGAATTCAGTTCTCTTGTGCTTCATTTTGAAGAAAACATTACTCATTTTGTTTAAAACTTCATTTACTCAATGCTTCATAATCTTGTTAAGTACTTCATTCGTTTGAACTTGTTTGGATATGTATATATATATATATATATATATATATATAGAGAGAGAGAGAGAGAGAGAGAGAGAGAGAGCTCATATTTTGACTGTCAATTTCCGCAATTTGGTCTAAGAAGTTTGCATCCCATGTAGGTGCTGTCAAGGAAGCAATTAATACCTTAAGGAGTAATAATGTTAATGCCTTTGTATTGGATCTTCGAGACAATAGGTAATCATTATATCTCAACGTGGGTCTAGGACTCTAGGTTATCATTAGCTTTCAACACGGCTCATGTAAATTTTTCCCTTTTGGAAGGCTTTCTGAAAGCTTAATATTTGCTTAATTTTGGTGCAGTGGTGGTCTTTTCCCAGAAGGAATTGAGATTGCTAAGATTTGGTAAGTCGCCGTGGACAATTGTGGGAAACTAAACTGTTTATAATTATTGCTTTTCACCTAACGAGTCGATTTTGTGTTATTTTTAAGACGGGGAATAACAAAGTTTTTGCTGCATATTTAATTATGGAACTGAGATAACTAATGTTTGCACTTAGTCATAGCCATACGATACAGATTTTGATACTCTGAACTTATTCCTATATATCATGTCCCAAATATCAAATTTATATATATCAGCACGCTTTTTTTATACACAAGAAGGTTTTGGACTCATATTACATATACGAAAATACTAGCCAGAAATCCTTTACAACGCACCGTATTGATTGCAATGCATACATGTATTTGGGCTTAAAATGGATTCATGCGATCTGCTGAAAGTGTGGGAGGCATGCTTCTTTCATGTGTCTCCTTATTCAACCCAGCAAGGTTTAAGAAGACAATCCCTCGAAAGCCACTGGATTACTAGATCGCAATCATGCTGCTTGAGTGGTCTTTTCATTCATATTCAAAACCGTTATGTTTGATCCTTTTATGCAGCACAAATTCTTACAATTCAACTTTGTAACAAAAATAAAAAACATTGTTTGTCTTTCAAGTATTAAGCTTGCACTTCCTTATATCAGATCCAAATTTTGTAAATTCATGATTGGATGCTTTTTTCCAGGTTGGTGATAGTCGTGGTGTTCGAGATATATATGACACCGATGGAAGCAAAGCAGTAGCGACTTCAGAACCCCTAGTTGTGCTGGTACATGTTTATTTAGTAATACGATTAAGTAGATTTGGTCAGTGATATTCCTCCATGCTCAGGCAAACAGTTGCATATGCTATTATTAATGGTGCAGGGTTGTCATCATTTAGTTATCTGTTGTCAAGCTCCGGCCTGTCTCGCTGTGCTGTTTAATGCCGGAATCAGTTTTTCGTTTCTGATATTGTCTTATTAAAAAGGAACCTTTCTATAGCGTGTTCATGTGCGTTCCTATGAAACATTATGTTTGAAGAATTGCTTGGTGAGATTCGGTGTGCGTATCAACTGAGATTTCTTCAGGTGAACAAGGGAACTGCTAGCGCAAGTGAAATCTTAGCCGGGGCATTGAAAGACAATAAACGTGCTGTGTTGTTTGGAGAACCCACATTTGGGAAAGGGTAATCTCTTTTGCTCCGACACAGCTCCTATGAATAAAATCGTATATTCCTGACATAAGTCATCCATCCGACTATGCAGCAAGATTCAGTCAGTTTTTGAGCTGTCCGATGGCTCTGGCTTGGTTGTTACAGTCGCTCGTTATGAGACACCTGCGCACAGAGACATTGATAAGGTCTGATGCGGTCTCTTGTTCTCCCCATACACTGTATTCTTGTTGCTCTCGGTTAACTTTGTTCCCATTACTTATAGGTCGGTGTGATTCCGGACCATCCCCTGCCTACCTCATTCCCCAAAGACGAGGAGGCTTTTTGTAACTGCCTCCAGGACCCTGCATATGCTTGCAACAAGGTCGAGCTATTTGCACGATGACCGCAGTTTTTGTGTACATTCACATTGTTTACAGTACAGGAAATCACAATTTTTTACAGATGCAGTTTGACATTCTTTCAAGGTTTCTTTTGAATTTGTAAACAAATAGCAATATTTGATTAATGGTATTCGATTCAAGAAATTTACGAGTGAATGTTTCAGTATTCAACCAAATTCCATAAGATAATACCAAATTCCACCGTATGGAATGAAATGTCAAATGTACTGTGAAATTGTATTTGGAATATATACTATATACGATGGCGTACAAAATAATAATTTCTTGAAGAACGCCAGCATCCGAGTCTGGTGTATACAAAAAATGGCTAAATTATGCTATCAGAAAATCATTGATCTTAAGCTTCAACGGTTCAACCGATTTCTTGATCTTAGACTCAGCTGATTTATCGTGGATCCGTAACAGCAGACGGAAAAATCTTGTAGTAGTTGATCCGAATACTTTCAGGCAAACCGATCGGAATACTACAGGTTTGAGACTACTCTATTCACCAAAACATCTTTGTCCATGTACCCAAAAATGGGAAAACAGCAATCAACAATCTTAACAGGAGAGGTGTGTCACTATTTCTTTCTCTCCGACTCAACTTACCCTTCCCCATCGGCTTTCTTTGAGATTGCCTCCGTGCAGATTCCATTCTTTCAAGATCATCCCATCCGCCTAAACTCGATGCATCTCGACCACTACTATCAGCTGAAGCATCATTTCCAACTACCCAAGATTGATAACCCATTCTTTTGTCACTAGTTTCCTGCTCTTCATCATATTTTTCTTTTTCTTTGGTTCTAGCGTTACCTACAGTGCTGGCAAAAGGTTTCCTTCTCCTCCTGGTCCTGGACTTGCGTTTCGGCCTACTTTGTGTCCCTCCCCATAACTTCTCATATAACAGTGAAAATGCTGACTGAACAAGGGGGAGTGCTAACGCCATTATGAAAGCTTTCGGACCCGTAGACAGCAGCAAAGATATGATAATAGCTGGAAATGCCCAACCATACGATTTGAACACCTGCACCAACCAAAAAAGCAAATACATTGGACATTTTACACCTATAAGAACATATTCTAAAATAGGAATAAACCAGTACAAGCATAATAAGAAAAATTAGACTCCTCTGGATATCAAATTTTGACTCAGGTGATTTTTCATCTTCAACCTCGGGATTATGGTGTTCATATTTTGGTCCTTTTTTATTTTGGTAATCACTTTATCAAAATGCTTATATATTCAGTAACTCAAAACCAGTGTCAGTTTTGGTCTGGATGTCGTTAATGTAAGGGATCCACCGTGCTCAACCAGACAGCATAACTGTTTGTCTTGGGAGCAAGGCATTGTTCATTATAACAGTTATAGAAAGCACAAACTATTCGAGCAGTTTTCTCGTTGTTTCTTTTGTAACCAAGTAACCAAGTGTCAAACTGACTATCCAGAACAACCCCAAGCAAGTATATTCATTCCCTCCAATTACTGCTGCTGTTCATTGCCATGAAAGCACATTAAGGTATTCATTTTTTACACTTCGATGTTACGCTTTGCTCACTCAGACTAAGGCTCTCCAGTGATTGTCTCTTACCTTAAGGTGCCTTCCCATAGCTGCGATAATGGTCCATCGCGATACCTTTCATAACTTTCATTAGATGTTTCTCAGGAAGTGCTACATTGTGCTTGACATCAGTTCTCTTCCAATTTTTCATTTTTTATTTTATTTGTATATAACACATTGACTTCAAACTTATTAGGAGACTTACACGTGCAGAAAATGTTACGATAAAGGACCAATTCAGCAGTAGAAAGCACTTAGGGACTAGGCTAACAAAATAGGATGTGAGAGAAGTTTCAGAACAGAAAGGAAAAGAAATCTGCTATGTAGTCGAAGACCGAGGTGATGAAATATTACTCTATAGGACTTTCCTACTTAAATGTCAACAGGTTGTTGAAATGTTACATCTATAACTTGATCATAAGCAAATTATGTTTGAAGATGGAACTGGTTAACTTCAAAACTCTTGATACAACACAAATCGAGAAGCCAATAGTAGACAAAGATACACACAATATCGATTTCACTGTCTTCACATTGGTTTCTGATTCTATCTTTTGCATATGAACCTTATAAGGGGGGAATTCAGCACTTACACGAATGCAAGTAAAGCTATCTATCATAATAACCTTTATTGAATTAATCAAACTATTGATGCATTTGAATTCTTAAACATCTGTTTCTTAATAATTTTTGTTCCTCGACGAGTCAAACATGTTTACAGTAAGTTCTCCAAGTAGACTAGGGAGTAGTCAAATTAGCTAGAGCAGTGTGCTCTCCTCTACACCGAAGTTTGAATCCCCTCCCCCACAATTTAGATAGAGTCATTAGACTGATTAGAATATTGCTCGAATATTGATGCATTCTAATACTTAAGCATGGGTGAGAAGAACTAAGGTAATGTCTCCGATTAGAGCTGGGCATAGCTAAGTTGGTTACAACAGTGTGCTTTTTCTACTGCATTTTAAGTTTAAATCCCTTATCCGCAGTTTAGATTAGACTAATTAAAATATCGCTTGAATAAAAAATTAAGCTCTCCAAACTTGAAACACTCCCAAATCCAAACTTCACATAACTAACCAAAAATTAAGTGAAGGTTAGTACCTTAAAAATCCAGACACTATCAATGGCATCCTCCAAGATTCCACCCGAGCCTTCCTCCTCCATCTCCGACGACTCGTCCGACCACCACCGCCTTTTCTTCTTCCCTTCCCTTCTACTGTACTCGTAATCTTCTTCGTCTTCTTCATCGTCTTCGTCTTTTTCTCCGTTGCCTTTGTCTCTGAAATTGACACCGAATCTTTGGGAACGAATGGTTTCGGCATTGGAGTCCCAGCGACGGTAGCTAGGAGCATAGGAGCGACTTAAATGGGAGGAAGGAAGTGGGTTTTGACAGATAAAGTGAAAGGAATAATTGGGTCGCCATGGATGAGGCTGTGCTGTAAGGAGGACACTGCTCTCCATGCGTAGTGTGAGCTTCCATCTGCCACGTTCTCGTTATCTTTTTCTCCGATTAATATACTTTCTAATGTTATTTTTCACTTGTGAATAAAAAGTTTTAAATTCGATTATCATTAAAAATAAATTTAAACCATATTATTATTAACCCATTGTGAGATTAAACTCACTTTTACCTTACTGTAAATGATATTGTTTGTTCAAAAAAAAAAAACACTCTCAAACTTTATTACCAAAAACAAAGGTTAATTACATTATTATATTCTCGAACTCACGAGTTTTATTTATGGAAAACTAACCAAAACACCCTCAAAAGTTTCATTTTAATCATAAGGATAAATTTTTTTTCATAATACCCAAATTGGGCATGGGAAAGAGGACAAGGAAGAAAAACAATTCTGAGAGATCACATACAAACATTTCTGAAAGATCACATGGATGATCAAAATGAAGGCTCCAGGAGACAAATCATGCAGCAAATTCACATGCAAAAGGAGACAAGTAAGATCACATGACCACGTTTCAGAAACAGTGTTGACAATTTCAGCAACAGTAGAGGCAAAGTGACAAATGACAAGTACCAAGGAGATATCCATACCATTTATTACCATTGTATCCTCAATCAGTCTATATAAGTGGAGTTTCATTCATTGTAAAGAAACCTCTAGCTGAACATCTCTCAACACCTCAACCACTCAACACCTGAACACCCTACTCTCATACTCACACCATCTTCATACTCTCAAGCATCTGTAGTTTTCAGAGCAGCCTTGTAAACACTTTCTTGTAAACAACTATCTTTATAAACATTCCATATATCAATAAAGGTTCAAGTGTACATATTCAAGCAAACTTCAAGTCTTAAGTAAGCTTTCTTTTCTTTCTTTAGTGTGCTTGTTTAATTAGACTTCTAGTCCAGAACAGGGAAACACTATTGTAGTTATATTATTAACCTGCTAAACTGACGATCATATTTTGTTCTAACACTCTGTTATAGTTGAATGCTTGCCATACAAATAACTGGACATTAACCAGGATACCTCTGAGTTCAGTTGTTAAGGCTTTATACTTGTACTGTGAGTGGCCGTCATGCTGAAACATGTTGAGTTCCATGTGCAAGGTTATATGTCTAGTTGTTATAATGGCCATTTGACTATTTAACCGAGCCTGCATTACGAATTTGGTATCAGAGCCAAGTTTAGCATTTTAATAGTATAACTATAATAGTAAAGTACTTTGAGGATAGAAGTCATTGATACAACTGATATCATATTTGTTTATTGTGTATGAACAACAGATATTATTGTCCTTGTAGACCTTGTCAGCCACAACCACCAGGTATTTATTGTCCCAGACATCCAACTATAAATAGCATAAAGAGAAGATTAGTATATATATCCAAAAGAATTACTAGTACTTTGAAGAAGCAAAAGTTTTATCTTGGTTATCTTGAACATCCTTTATTTATTCGTAAATATAATAATACAGAAGTTCAACATAAAGTTTTAGAAATAAAAAGAGCAACATATCAAGTTTTAGAGACCTTGAGAGAAGAAAGAGAGTTTCTAAGAAACCAGTTAGCAGTAACTATAAAGAAAGGTAGACTGTAGTTTATGATAGACTATCTTAATTTAGAAATTAGTGAACCTTAAAAAAGAAAAATAACCTTAGACCAAAATAGTTTAGTTTGTTATTTTCCATTGAGAAAGCATAATCATATTTTGCATAGTGAAGAAAATCCACAAGCCAATAATATTGTAGATCTTATTATTAGTCAATCAGAAAATATAAAATTAGAAAATAATAAGCATAATCATTTGTTAAACCAGTTGTTAGTTCATTTTCAGAAAACTTCCATAAAAACAATTAGACAAAATTTGGACTATATTACATCTCAGTTAGAAGATCATAATAAAAATATTCAAAGGGTTCCTAGCAAAAGAGAAATAAAAGATCTTGTTGATCTCATAGATAGTAAGCCGAAGCAAGTAGAACTTAGAAATAGTTGAGCAGTTAAAATTAGAAGTTCAAAAAATTCAATTAGTACAAAAAGAGTTAAGTGAACAAGTAGATAAGTTGCATAATAAAATAGATAAATTATTAGTTTAATGACCGATTCTAGAAATAGCAGAAAATATATCCAAGCTTTGAAAGAAATTAGTAAGTTAGATAAAGAACCAGTAGGTTTAACAGATTTTTCAATACAATTATCTAGTAGTAATATTCCCATTAGGCAAAATAATTTGATTATTCAATTAGTTTTAAGTTTGGCTGAAAAATTAAATCAAGTTGAAGAACAAATAGTAGAAATAAACCAAGTTTTACACAACGCATCTTCATCAATTCCACCATCCTTGCTAGATAAATAAGAAAATTTAACTTTAAGTGCAAATAATAATAGAAGACCTAAGCTAAATCCTTTTGATAATAGAAAATAGAACTCTTTGGGAAAAAAAGGAAAAGAAGTAGTTAGAGCTAAATATATTTATCCTAATGAAGAAGAATCACAAGAATTTATTCGAAGAAGTTTTGAAAGAACACAGAAAGATAAATATAACCTGTACCAATTAGGTTTATTTGAAAATAGAAGCAGAATTGTAAGTAGCATCAGTCAACATGAAGTTAGCTGTATTGATAAAGAAGTCACACTTAATCTAATTAGTAAAGAAGCAGTTACTCATTTGGGAAAATCACATTTTAGTTAGATTCATATAAGAACAATATTAATTGGAATATCAAGATTAACCAGAGCACAAGTAGGCACAAAAACATTAGTATACATATATGATGATAGATGTGATAATCACCATCAAGCAGCAATAGCAACAGCTGAAGTAGACTTAAGTTCAAACTTAGCAGTCATAGGTTGTATTCCAAATTATATTATGACAATTAATGAATTTAGTAAATATATTAAAGTAAGTATAAGAACAAAAAATTATACTATGAAAGGAGAATATAAAAATTTGTGCATTAGCTTAATGTATATTGGTAAAGTATCTGATAGATATAATCATAAGTTTAATTTAGAGTTTCAAAATTTAGTTCAAACATTTGGTAGTAAACATGTAAATATGATAGAAGCAAAACCCGTAGATAATAGCTTTTTAGAAGGAACTCAGTGGACATTGCCTAATTTACAAGTAGCAACAAATAAACAACCAGATAAAGTACAAATATATGAAACTAGTACAGGTCAAGCAACAATTAGGTTTAGTAATTATAAGCAATTAGAAAAAATAGAAGACGATGAGAGTGAGATCGAAAATGAGAGTATACATATGACGTTTGATAATTTAGATACTAATTTAGTTGAGCAAAACTTTGATTATATTGTAAATAAACTTATAGAAGATATTGATCATTTAGATGAAGAACAATATTTGGAAAAATATAAGACATATGATTTAGGACTACATATAATTTCAGACGAAGAGATGAAAAAATTAATCTTAGAAATAGGAGTAGAACATATTTTAGGATAAAAAAAATATAATAATTTATTAGAATTGAAAGCAGAATGTAATCCAGCAGAAGAAAGTAGTACATCAGGAGTAGAAAATCTAGGACACGCAAGTTGAACTGATTAACAATTTTTTAGACCAACAAATGAACAATATAATGAAAAGGCAAAAGTAGATTACATAGAAGAAAGTATGATAAGACAATCTAGAAAAAATAGGATTCCATATTTGAGAGGGTTAGAACAAATTAATATAACTGGTAATATATTAAATTTAGATAATGTAGATCCACAATACTAGGAAAGAACGATTGAAAGATGGGAAAAAGCCTGCGTACATGCAACATTAATGTTAGATTTTAGTAATTCACAAAATATGTTAGATTACTTTGAGCATACTTTGGATGGTTTAGTTTTTGATTGTTTCCAGTCATGGAAAGTCCAAAATCCAGAACAGCATCAAGCAGCTAAAACACATTTTAATATTGATGGTTTTGTTACTTTGATCAAACAAGAGTTTTTAGATCATAATAGGTTAGATGACAGAAGTGAAAAAGAACAAATAAGAGCAATTAGAAATTTAGAACAATTACAAATTTGTGATTTACAATATATAGTTGAGTATACCACATATTTCTTTAAATATTTAGGAAGAACAGGTAGAATTTGTGATATTAATTTATTAGATATTTATATGACAAAAATAAAAGAACCAATAGGTGAAAATATTTGGAATGAATGGCAAAAGCATCCAAAGAAGAATGATATTGCTATAGGACCTAGAATTCAACATGTATATGATATACTTAGACAAGAGTGTAGTCAAATAAAAGCTAAGAGACAAATTAGGAAACAATTTTACATGAGTTGTAAAAATTTAGATTTAGCACAACAGTATGGTTGCCATAAGAAAAATAAGTATAAGAAAATATAAGTCATATAAACCCTACAAACAACATAAGAATTTTAGTATAAGAACTTCAAGAACATATAGGAAAAGAAAATATATTCCAAAACAATTTAGAAAAAGAAGTGGCAGACCTTGAATTAGAAAATATAAAGCACCAAAAGATAAGAGTAGTTGTAAAAGTTATTCATGTGGAGAAGCTAGACATATTAGACCTAAATGTCCAAAATTAGGTAAACAGTCGAAAGAAAAAGTACATTGGATGAAATTGTTTAAGTTAGAAGAAGATGAGGATATTCAGTCAATATACAGTTTAGATAATTTAAGTGATAATGAGAGTATTTATAGTATAGAAAGTATTAACATGATAGATTCAGACTCGGAAGATTCAAGTAGCACAAATAGTGATCTAGAGGAGTATATGTATGCATTCATAGAAGAACAACATGAAGAAGAATATAAATACATTAATTTAGGTTGGCCAGAAAAATGTCATAAGTGTAGTAAATTAGTTGCAAATAAATACTATAATACATATTCAATATTATGTGAAAAGTGTTATAGTAATAGGTTATTAGAAGTTAATTCAGCAGAATCACAAGAAAATACTGAAATATTAGGAAATATTGTTCATAGTATAGAAAAACAAAAAAATAGTTCTTTAATTACCATAAATTGTGAAATAGAATTAGTAAAAGAACATAAGATACAAACAACAGCTATGATAGATACAGGAAGTACAAAGAGTGTCATAAGAGAAGAATTAGTACCAGAAAAATATAGACAAAAATTAGCAAATCAGTGAGAATAACACAATTTGATGAGAGACCAGTTTACTTAACACATTGTATAAATAATGAGTTTATTAAAATAAAAAAAAACAACAATTTAATTTACCATTAACATTTGTTTCACCAGTAGGATCATATCCATTCAATTTAGGTTTAAGCTTTTTGAAAAGTTTACAAGGGTTTTTATTTATGAACCATAACATAACATTTTTCAAAAGAGGCATCACAATAACTGACCAAAGTAATACTGTAGCATACAAAAGCATGAGTATAGGAGACTCTAGTGGCCAAGATAGTTATCATTTAGAAAACTCAAAAGAGAATTATGAGCATAATAACGTAGAAGAGTTTGATGAAGACATATTTAAACATGAATACCTGTTTTTAGAAGAAGGAAACCGTATAGAAATATTACAGTTAAGTAAACCAAGGAGTTTAGAAGAATTATTACAATTAGCAGAACAAACTAGAATTATAGGAGAAATCCCACAGTTACATTGGAGTAAAAATAAAATACTAGCAAAATTAGATATAATTAACCCAGATTTAACCATTAAGACGGCTGATATGCCTTGTAGTTTAATAGATAAACAAGAGTTTGAGCAGAAATAAAAGAGTTGTTAAATTTAAAAGTAATTAGACCCTCTAAGTCTAGACATAGATCAACATCATTTATTGTAAGAAAACATTCATAACTAAAGAGAGGTAAGGCTAGAATAATTTATAATTACAAGAGATTAAATGATAAAACATATGAAGATAGATATAAGTTACCAAATAAGGATGAACTTATAAATAAAATTCAAGAGAGTAAATATTTTAGTAAATTTGATTGTAAATTAGGTTTTTGGCAAATACGATTAGCAGAAGAATCAATTGAGTGGACAACTTTTACTTGTCCAAAAGGACATTTTGAGTGGCTTGTTATGCCATATGGACTTAAAAATGCTCATTCGATCTTTCAAAGAAAGATGGATAAAATTTTCAAGAAATATGATAATTTTTGTAGTGTTTATGTAGATGATATTTTTGTACATAGTAAAAATAAAAATGAAGATAGGAAGCATTTAGAGATAGTATTACAAGAGTTTATTAATAATGAAATTGTGATTAGCAAAAATAAAATAGCATTAGAAAAGTAAGATATAGAATTTTTAGGAATGTATATCAAGTCAGGTACAATACAATTACAAGATCATATAGCTAAAAGGGTGTTAGAATTTTCAGATAAATTAGAAGATAAAAACCAGCTACAAGCATTTTTAGGATTATTAAATTATGCAAGGAATTTTATCCCTGATTTAGGAAGAAAATAGCAGTATTACAAAGTAAAACTAGCAAAACAGGACAAAAATATTTTAATAGTGAAGAAATTAAATTAGTTCAAAATATAAAAGAAGAAATTACTAAACTTAAGCCATTAACATTACCATTAGATGATAGTTACAAGATAGTCGAAACAGATGCTTCATCATTAGGATGGGCATGTATACTATACCAAAAAAAAAACATAGGGAGTCTCTAAAGTTTGACGAACAAGTTTGTAGATATTCATCAGGAAAGTTTACAGATTTAGAAATTTTAGGGATACTTAATTCACTTGAAGCATTTTCTTTATTTTTACATAATGAAGTATTTACGATTAGAATAGATTGTCAAAATATAATTTCTCATTATAATAATATACATGTTAATAAACAGGCAACCCGAAGATGGGTTAATTTGTTGATTCAATTACAGGAAATGGTTTTAAACCAATTTTTGAACATATAAAAGGTAATGACAATACATTAGCTGATATCTTATCAAGATTAATTTGTTGAACATGTATGGAATATCGTGGACCATCATCAGCAAATAGCACAAGGCTGCAAGGCAGAAGAGTGTCTTTCAATAGCATAATGATGCACCATCAACCTCCACCATTCAGTGGATTTCAAAATAGTATGAGCAAACCAGCATCACCACTAGTACCTACTTTCAACTTTAATGGCAATATTGTTGAAGGAATCAGAAATCCAACTCTGAGATATAGGTCAAGGGTACCAGGGCTTTCTGATAGGCACCAGGTTCTCTTAGATAATTTTTGGAATATCCAAATCAAGCAGCCAAGCATAAGGTTAGGTCATGAAAAATTAATTAGAGCCTTGGAACAAGAGTTTGATAGCTTTAATTTTAATTTCCACCAAAACCAGCAGCATATTCATTTTCTTGAGCACAACCTCCAAGTCATCTCTAGGGACCATGAGTCATTACTTGGTAAGTTTACCAAAATGAACAAAGAACTCCAATATCTTAGAATGCAGCAAAAGGCAAGTGACACATTGAAAAGAGAATTGAAAATAGGTTTAGAAATTAATCAGCATAAGAATAAAGGAAAATAGGTTATTGAACCCATAGAATAAGAGGCTAATGAGCTCATAGAAAAAATTAAGATTGAACTCTTAGAAGAAGACATTGAAATGGAGCAACATCAAAATAGTGAGCAACATCAGGTTCTGAGTGACAAAGAAAAACAAGAAAAATATGGAAGTTTTCTTAGGAATATATCTTCAGACTTAATATTAGATGATATTTTATTAGAAGAAATTTAAAAAGCAAAATTAAGAATAATGCTACCAGATATGCAAAATGAGATCCTGAGTAGAGTATCACAGTCAGGAGTTACAATTACAATTACAATGTGCTTTGTATGAGTCAATCTTTGATCCAAAACCAGAGATGAATATTATTACAAAGATGTATTCACCATGTCTTTGTGATAGTACAGAGAATTGTATTTGTAAACCAGAAGTTAGCATAGCTGTGGCTAGGATTAACATGAGAGATTTTAAATCATGGCATTTTAGTTATGAGCATCAGAAAAAACATAATGTGGTAAAAGTTACCCCTCCTTACTATTAGAGTTTGGTTATCTTGATAAAATATTCATTAACCGTATTTCCCAACTAGAATCATTTCCTGAAAAACTTATAAAAGTAGCAGAAGATTATCTGGAAAGGTGGAAAGAAATTTGCATAAGCTTTATTAGTAGTCCTCAAGATTGGTATGTACATATGCATAAGGACAAAGCTAGGCATATAGCCATGATTAATGAAGAGTCATTTAGACTATCCCTTATCTCCTCACATAGGTGGACTCTTCATACAAAGATATTTTAAAATTTAGAAGGATCCAAATGTTTGCTTTAGATGAGTTTGAAGATTTTAGGTATGACATGGTACTAGTAGCAGAAGAAGAAGAGATGTTTATTTACAGCAAGACAAAGATTAGTCATCAGCTTTATTGGAAGCCCCAAAATTTCAAAGAAGAAACAGCAGAAATATACTACAAGGTGAAAGAAGATAGAGAAAGAGATGCGGAGCTAGTATAAGGCGATGAACAGTACTGGAATAATTTGACAGAAGAAGAGCTGCATAACATAGACAATATGATGGAAGCTTGAAGAGCTAGCTGTAAATTAGCATAAGTTTAATAGCATAATGTAAAATAATGTATTTCCAGATAGAAATGTCAACATCATTGTGGATCCCGCTGTAATGACATAAGAGTAAATAAAGAAAAGAGCCCGATTATGGACTTTGCATACACAAAATGTCTTTTTGATTAAGAATGAATAGTGCCAGACCATTTTCGTTAAAACTCCCTTTTATTTAACCTTGGAGAAACCATATAATATTTTGAAGCTCATATTCTTTTTTTCACTTTATTTTCAACTACAAAACTATTTATGTGGCTCAAGTGTGACCCATTGTTGTTGAGATGTGTGCTGTTATGCGCTAAAATGTTTGGAAAATCATATTTTTGAATTTAATATTTAAAACTTTACCAATTTTGTTTTCGGACGTGGCAGACATCTTAGCAACAATGGTACTTATTTGTGTCACGTAAATTGTTTAGTAGATTTATTCACAGATTTTGACAATAGTCGACAAGTATGAAACAGTTCAATTTTAGTGGATTAAGTGGCAAAGTTGAATTTCAAAAAATTTAGTGATACGCGAGTTGAATTTCAAAATATACTGAAGTAAATAAGCAAAAAATAAACTCTTTTGTAGTTTGAAATTTTAATGAAAGGAGAAACTTACTAATTTTTGGTCTAGTGGCTGTGTTAGCTTCTCAATGAGTCACTGTTAAAAGATGTCTCAAAGCCTGAAATTTTCCGTCTAACAAAAATGTATGAATACTAATTAGTTTAGTAGGCGTTGAACTCTCCATTCGTTTTTGTATGTAGGGGTAGACATACAATTACTAGTACGACTATTGTGATTCCCATTACAAGAGTCAAAATAGGAACAAGAACTTGGAGAATTTCATAAACTTCTTTTAAAAATTCTAATATAGAAAAATAATCAATATTTTGTATTTCTTGTGTATCAATTATCATTTCAACGATCTACTTCTTGTAAACAACTTCTTGGTGATGGTACATGTAAATATCTCTGGTTGCGAAAATGATAAAGGTACTTTGTCATAAGCCAACTTAACAAATTTGGAATGAAATAGACGAAACATGGTCAAACACGATGAAATGTGAATTTCAATAGAGTTAAGTGACGACATTTTTACTTTCAAGAGACAAAATAAGACTCGAGTTTTCTTTCGGGGCAAACGAGTCATTAAACCTTCAAGTTTTGGAGGGTAAATAGGCTTGGAAAGTTTAAGTTAATGTTATGATACGTTTTACCAATTCCATTCCCTATATATTCCATGATTGTAGGCTTTTGACTCTCATGGTGTTGGCCTATACTTTTTACCCTCCTCCCTCTTTTGTTTTCATATTCCTTCGGCTTTAGCCTCAAGAGATCAAGAGAGAAAGAAGAACAATTTTGACAAGAGAGGAGGCTCCATCAAGGATGTATAATTCCATGCATATTTCGCAGGTTCGATACCTTTTATTACTAATTGTTTTCTAATAAACACATTGTGTTATGGTCGCTTGTATTTTTTTATTTATTAGGGTTAAACTTGGTTGTTTAGCATATCATCATAATCACATGCTTTGCTATTCACCTTCCATTCCAAATTTTTTTTTATTGGTTTGTGTTTCCATCCGTTTTGAAGTAAAATTTTCATTCTATGTGATTGTGACAATACGTGACCTGCTAACACGATCAATTCACTCAAATTACAAAATGTGGTGGCTGACAAATCTTTATACTTAAGAGAGGATTTAATGTTTCCATTCTTAAGAGAGAATCCATCATTTACGGTCATTTGATTTGGTGTATACATCCCAATTTCTAATCTTTTACCCGTTAGCATCTTACAAAGTTAGTTTTAACCCCCTTCACTACGGCCGAATATTTTCGAGATGTAATTAGTCACGTATCATAATTTCAATAGATCAATAAATCATGGGTAAATTGCATAGCAGCCCCTTAGGTTTGAGGTTTATTACAATCTCATACAACATCTTTAAAACATTTCACTTTCATACCTCACCTACTATTTTATTTCAATATAGTACATCCGTTACATTTTCCATCCATTGATCCGCTAAGAGTTGACGTGGTTGCCAAATTTGTGTCATGTGGCAAAAAAAATAATTTTTTATTCATTTAAAATTAATTAATTAAAAAAAGTTATTTATATATATATAAAAAAAAACCATAACCCATCTTCTTCCCCGACCCTTCCCCTTTCCCTACAACCTAAACCCCCCATCCCACCCCACCCCACCCCCACCTCCCTCGTAACCCCCCCCCCAACTGAACCTCCTTCGTCTTCCACCTGACCTTCCATCTCTTCAACTCTCCAAAACCATCAGGGCACCACCCTTCCCAATCCCTAAAACCCATCTTCCCTGACCCACCTTCGCCCCTCTCCTCTACTCTCATCAACGTCGGTCGATTAAGCAAATTCAAGCTGAACCCACCAATAAAAACACAAAAAATACAAAACCCATTTCAGATAAAGCATGACACACCCCGACCCGAATCAGGGCATGTTGGCCTTCACGTGAGGGTAATGTAGCCATGTGCACAATGCAGAAGCAATAATGATAATAGAGAATATGAATAAATGAAAACCAACTCATAAGAGTACTAGTTAAGACAAGTGCTAGAATATGTGTGAATACACAATCAGAGCGTAAGTAGTCTAAGTTCAGTCAAGAAAACAAGTACTAATTAAACGACACCCAAAGATGCCCCACATTTGTGATAGTCTGTCATAACCTCCAATCAATCATCGTGAGCCACCAATGAACAAGCTTATCTAAAACCTGGAGGGGCGCAAAACAGAAAGTGTGAGTGGGCAAAATCAAAGCTTGTCAAAACCATTGCATTTGTCAATGCTCTAACCCTTCGCCGTAAAACATGTAAAATTTTCCTAGAAATAGAATATATATTCAAATCATGCCTCACATATCCATATTCATAAGTATGCCATGCCAAAAATATAAAACAGAATAAGTAACTAAGGTGAAATTATGGAAAATAACATATTAGCCGGAACCCCTGCAGAGGTCTGTACAACTGAATTCATAGCTCATTAGTCAATCTAGCCGGAGTCACTGCAAGTGACCTATACGACACTACACTGCACACGAGTCGGAACCAATATAAGGATCTGTACGACAAGACTAGGTGTAATATAGTTATGCTCAATGCTACGCTCTCATGATAGCTGTGCGATAAATCGTTAGTCACCTACGAGTCGGAACTACCTATAATGGTCTATACGACAAGACTGTGCACCTAAATTGGATCCACTATGAGCATATGGTGCGGGAGGTAACATCATAAACAGACCTGTACCATATCTCTGGCTAAATCACAATCACCTGGGGTGCAGGTTTATGAGCTCTCAATCACGTCTCCCATTATCAATATCTCATATAACAAAACATAACTCACCCGGTACTTACCTGAGCGTCCATAACACCAAGTCATATGCTGAATATAAATTTATATGCATGGCATTTCAAAGCATACTTTCATTTAAACACATTTTATGGGAAAATATCAAGTATATAAATATATACTGAAAACCAAAAGCCCACTCACTAGTATGTTGAAGGGTTGTAGCCTTCGAGTCGCCCTTGATTGTGCTCATCCTCGGGATAGGTCTCACCTATATGTGAAATAACTGAATAAACGTTATTTAAAGCACATAGACAAAACTAGTTAATAACTTCTCATACATTGCTCAAATGGGATGTTTGAATATACCAACGTGATCTACACAACCTCACGAACATCCCTATATTTTTAGAAAACTTTTCCGATGCCCTACGCGCGGGTAACCCTGACGTAATCCTAATTGCCGTTAGGAATATTCCGTTAAAATGCAATAAAAACCATTAAATCTACCTGACGGCGTCAGAATATTCCATCAACTTTGATGGAATATTCTATCTTCGTATCCGATTAGCTTAGCTGGTCGCCGTTGCTGTCGCCATCCGCCAAAAACTGGAAAAATATGTAAAACCTCATATCTCTCTCATTATTGCACCAAATTTCACGAAATCTTCACCAAAATGAAGCTTACAACATAAGGAACAAAACCTTACCAATTTTTGGACCTGAAATCCTCAAGAATTCACCGGAGATTCTTTGATAATCTGGCCAAACTTTGAACTCATCGATCTCGACTTCCCGACTTCCAATTCACCTAGTTTTTCTTCTCCGAGCTTCGTGGAGAAATGTTAAAGCTTCCTAGAAGCTCAAAAACCACTGAAACCTTCACATTTACGTGTGCATGAACAGTGCACCAAAACTGAGTATCTCGGGTTCTCGGGTTTCGAAGGTTTCACGACCAGAAAAGGGTATGGTTGAGCTTGTGACAATGAGATGAAGATGATGATGGTAATTACGAGCTCGATCCGTGACGGGAAGTAAAGCTTCAAGGTTGTTCGTACAACTTGTACAGAAGATAGAAGAAATCCGAGAGGGAAGAGAGAGAGTCAACAAGAGAGAGAGATAGTGTGTGTGTGTGTGGTCCACGTGGGTCACCAACCAAAACCAAAGAAAATACCATCTAAGTCCTAATTGGTTCCAAAATAATAAGACTTAGCACTAATTGGTCCAAAATCTAACCTACCACACCACCACACAAAACATCCAAGGGTATATAAGTAATTTTATGTCATCGAAAATAAATATTTCTGGACAGGCTGTCACAATCTACCCTCCTTAAGAAAATTTCATCCTCGAAATTTATACACAACAAATACATCATCTAATAGTCATAAAACAAGCGTGGATACATCTCTCTCATTCGATCATCTGTCTCCCAAGTAGCCTCTTCCACTGAGTGATTTCTCCACAAAACTTTCACCAGGGGCACAGTTTTATTTCTCAAAACCTTATATTTCCAATCCAAAATAGTCACTGGCTCCTCATCGTAAGTCAAATCTGAAATAATTTCCAATGGTTGAGGAGGTATCACATGTGAAGGATCTGAGACATAATGTCGAAGCATAGAAACATGAAACACATCATGCACTTTGGACAACTCTGGAGGCAACTCAAGCCTGTAAGCAACTTCACCGACTTGCTTGGTGATTCGATACGGTCCGATGTACCTAGGGCTTAGCTTACCCTTTTTCCCAAACTGTACCACACCTCTCCACAGTGACAACTTTAAAAATACCCAATCGCCAACTTTATACACTCTATCAGTAGCATGCTTGTCTGCTAGACTCTTCTAATGATTCTAGGCCACTTTTAGGTTAGACTTAATTACCTGAATATTCTGAGTAGTTTCATCCACAATCTTCGGGCCTACCAAAACTCTTTCACTAACTTCTGACCAGCATAATGGCGTTCGACAAGACTTGCCATAGAGTGCCTCAAAATGTGCTATACCAATACTCGAATGGTAACTGTTGTTGTAGGCGAATTCCATCAAATCCAAACAATCATGCCAACCATCGCCAAACTGCAGCACTGAAGATCTCAGCATATCCTCTAATGTCTGAATAGTCTTCTCAGATTGCCCATCTGTCTGAGGATGATATGCCGTACTATAAAGTAATCTCGTACCAAGAGCTTCCTGGAACGCTACCCAGAACTTAAAAGTGAATCTAGGATCCCGATTCAAGATAATATCAACTGGAACACCATGGTACTTCACAATCTTCGATATGAATAACTTACCTAATCGGCTTAATGAGAATTTCTCCCTTACTGGAATAAAATGTGCTGACTTAGTAAGCCGATCAACTATCACCCAAATTCCATCATATCCATTTTGTGTACGAGGAAGTTTATTTACAAAATCCATGGTAATATTTTCCCATTTCCACTTTGGAATAGGAAGTGGCTGTATCAATCCAAACGACTTCTTGCTTTCATCTTTAACCTACTGACAAATGGCACACCTCCTGGATGCATTGCATATGCCGAAATATGCGCTTCATCAAGGATTTCTTTCTTTAACTTTGCATTATTCAGCACATACATTCTATTCTCTTGCATAAGCATGCCATTAGTTTCTCGAATTCTGAAATCTTTCTTCTTGCCTCAACTTTTTGCCTGAATTATTTCTTGGGTCTCTTCATCATTCATTTGAGCCTCGAGTACTCGATCAATTAATATTGGTTTGACCTGGAAATTAGCTAATAAAGCTTCATTTTTATCTTCCAATCCTAACTTCACTCTAGTGGAGCTCAAATATGCAAGAAGAGGAACATTACAAGCATAAATGGCATTAAGCCTAACTAGAGTCTTCCTACTAAGTGCATCTGCTACCACATTCGCACGACCAGGGTGATACTCAATCGTGCAATCATAATCACTTAGTAATTCTATCCATCTTCGCTGACGAAGATTAAGATCCCTCTGAGTAAAAAGATACTGAAGACTTTTATGATCTGTGAAGATCTTACATTTCTCACCATAAAGATAATGTCTCCAAATCTTCAGAGCAAAGATGA